GCCCTCGGCGCTGGGAAGGTCCGGGTCGGCGCCATGCTGTAGCAGCAGCCGGGCGCAGGCCGTGTGGTCCCCGAGGCAGGCCTCATGCAGGGGCCCGCGGCCTCCAGGGCTGGCGTCGGGGTGAGCGCCGCGGGAGAGCAGGTGTCGCACGCAGGCGGTGTGGCCATGGGCTGCTGCGATGCACAGGGGCGTGGTGAGCTCCCGCTTGTACTCCAGGGTCCAGAGGCCTGGAAGGAGGGGGGTAAAGTGTGAAATGATGGGGTTGGGTGGGGAGCCTATGGGGCCGCGCTACACTAAGGCGAGAGAAGCAGGAGACAATTGCTTGGCGGTAGGTACCAGGTGCACATGCAGGGGACACACCCGACAGTATAGAGGGACAGAGAGCTGTGAGACACACTGAGCAAGACAGAGGTGGAGACAGGGAAGAGAGAGAGAAGGAAAGGTTGGGAAAGGTACAGCTGAAACCGAAAGGTTGTGGGGTAGCTGGGAAGGAAGAGGCTTTCCAAATATGGGGGTGACTGAGAAAGCTGATAAGATTCAAGTAGTCAGAAGCCCACCCCGCCGACGCAGAGGGAGAATCTAAGGGCAGAATTCACATTTTCCAGGCTCCGAATTAGGGATGACCTGAGAGAGGAGAGTGGGCAGTGGAATTTTCCAGAATTCAGCCCTATCTGGGTCAACTGCCAAACTTACCTCTTTATGATTAAGAGAAGACAAACAGACAAAACAAACTGACCCACCTCACCCAGATTGTCCAAGAAAAGCACTGGGAGAAAGTTTAGCCCCCTTGGAAGTGGCTGAGTTTTCGAAGGCCTCTTTGATGTGGCCTTCCACATTCAGCACAATTCTGGTTTGTTTCTCTGCGCTTTTGAGGGGTGTGTGTATATATAGGGTTGTTCTTTCTTGAGGGATGAATGGAGAAGGTGCTATACATTTCACTTCTCTGAAAACTTTGGTGCTTTCAAAAAGCCCGTGGAAGGTTGTTAGCAGCCAGGAGCACTCGTGGAAATGGGGGGAGGTGTCCCTGGTGAATACACATCAAGGATTTCTCATGGCAGGAAGGCCTTCTGATAATGATGGGAGAATCAATACCATGGCCGTAATGAGCTGCAGAGGAGGCCCTTTTTGCAGGCCACCGCCTTCCCAAGACCCATGCTGAGCAGTTTTGAAAGACCACTCATTAATTACCTCCCATGTGTGGTGCACAGTTTCAGCCTGCCCCTTGGCCCAAGGGCCCAGCCTGGAGCTGTTGCCCCCTCAGGCGGGGGAGGCAGGGGCCTGTTGTCCCTGGTGTGAAGTGATGGTGGCCACAGGCCCAGGGCTAGGGTCCTGCATGGGATTTGGCTGCCTTTCCCACTGATTTCTGAGTCAGACTTGAAGAGGGCAGGATGGAGGTAGTCCTAATGACAGCAGTACTCTATATTCCTGCACGGGCCCACTCTTGGTTTTTTGATTGTATTTATTTTCCAGAGACATGAAGTCTGTTTACTGACTTTTGCAGGACATGCTAAGTTCCCAACTCTTCCCCATCAGCTCTGTTCACCCATTCTTGATTCCTGAGTTTCTCCTTAGACTGATGGAAATGCCATGGGTGGGTTTCTGACTCAGCCAGAGGTAGGGACAGCACCTTCCCCAGGTCTTGAAAGAGAATGAGGAGCTTCCAGTAGGCCAAGAGAGCCTGGATTCTAGGGCAGCCCTCTCAGAAGAAAGTCTGAGTTAGCTTCGCATAATTCCCTGACCCTGTTGGTCTCCCACCAGGACGAACATGGATTGAAGATTCTCACTGTGCACTCCCCATGCCAATGGCTCCTGGGACTGTGGGCTACAGGAATTGGCCACTGTGAACCTACAGCCTGTACCCAGAGCACACCCTTCCTCAGAGCTGCCATGGGGGGCTGGAACTGGCCACCAGGAAGTCTTTGTGCAGGAGAGTGCAGAGCAGGTGCACTGTCCAGCCAGGGCTATTTCTGCTTCAGGGAAGTTGGAGAGCTGGGCCCAAGAGCTTGGGGTCCAGGCTGCCCCATCTTCCCTCCCTTCCCAGTGTGCACAGAGCCTCAGGCCAGTGCTAAGTCTCTGGGCTGCATTTCCCATCCCTTCTTTGTTGGCAGGCTGTGCCTTCGGTTGGGCAGGTGTGCCACAGAAAGCAGCAGAGCTTAGGGGCAGGAAGGTTACTGAGGAAAACAGAACCCAGACTTTGAATTCAGACATGTAAGAGATGGGTTAAAATTAGCATCTATTTGAAATTTGAGGCTTGAGCATATGAGTAAGTGCAGGGCCAGGAAGCATGTGACTAAAAAGATACAGGTGGCATCCATGTGTGGTGGTGCTCACCTGATATCCCCACTTATCTGAGAGGTTGAGGCAGGAGGATCAAATTCTAATCTGGGGAATTCAGTGAAACCCTGCCTCAAAATAAAACATAAATAGGGCTGTGGAATAGCTTAGTGGTAGAGAGCTTGTCTGGCATGCTCAAGGCCCTGGGTTCAATCCCCAGCCTGCAAAATAACACAAACATGGCTCAAGTATTGAAGCAGGTGGCATTCTTGGTTCAGGGCAGGGGCAGGTGAAGGAGAGGGGGCCTGGAGAGGCTCAGCTGGGAGGCAGTGAGCCTAATGCAATGACGCCTGCCTTCCCTGCAGCCCTGTCTCCTCCTGTGGGTTAGGTCTGCTCAGTCCTTCCATGGTGCTCTGCTTTATCCCCTTCTCCCCTTGTGAGGTATAAACCAAATCATGCTGGGTCTCTGGACATGGACCTTCCACATTCCTTGTCTGCCAGACACTCACAGGTCAGGGGCATGGACACTGGCCCCTGGTCCAACTGGCAGCAGATTCTCAAATTCCCATGTCTGGCAGAGTTGCAGTGGATTCTAGCACATGGGCCTGGGTAGGGGGGTCCCAGTGCAACCGCCATCCAAGAAGCCTGGATGCAGCCAGGTGGTCAGCAAGCATCTGCACATCCAGGTGGGGTAGGGAGGCTTCTCTTCCCTTGGGGGCTTGCTTGCCTGCCTGGGCCCAGGTGACCACATCCAGGCATCAAGAGTGTACTCAGACAAATGTGACACGAGGACCTGGGGTTTCATTCTCCAGCCTCTCTCGCTTCCAGGAGGAAGGTCTGCTATGCGCCTGTTGACCTTTATGTGTGGGGTGGCTGGGGCACAGCTCTCCCTGAGGCTGTGGCAATCATGGATTCATAGAAGGGCCTTCCACAGAGCTGCATGCCAGGGGCCTGATTCTCCTCCTCTGGCTCTTGCCTCCCTGGCTGCCAAGTGTAAGGGCTGGCACATTGGCATCTAAGCCAGCTCCCTTTTCTAGGCAAGAGGCAGATGGAACATTATCAGATGGGCATTTCTCACTGGTGGTTTTGCTTTTCTAATTGCATCTCTCATATCCCATCACCAAAACCCCACATCTTAAAACCCACAAAGACCAAATTTTGTTTACAGATGTCCTTTGCTTAGAGACTCTCCTTAAACACAGTGTCCACTTGCCCGACAAACACACGTGCCCCGTATGTTCCGAGAGTGTTAGTAGCTCCTTAGAAACACACAACTGAGCTTTAAAGGCAGAGGGTACCTGACAGCCCAAACGTAGCTGGGGATTTCACCTGCCACTCCATCTCATCCTTGCTGATCTCAAACACTATGTTGGCATCCTGGAAGAACTGGTCCATGAGAGGCTGAATATGGTCCAGGTCTCCTGCCACCAGTGCGGCATGGTACTCCAGCTCCGGGGACCCTGCTCTAACCCGAGGCTCTTTTTCCATCTTCTGAAAGATCTGAAGCTTTCTTGTGACGGGCTCTGGCCGTCTCTCCATTTCAAAGCAGTGGATTTCAGAACAAGTCTTGAGGAGGGGAAAGATGGTCTTGTAGAGTGTGAGCTATTTCTATTGTCATTACTCAATTGTCCTCCAGTTGGGGCCCGATGGTGGTATATTTATAACTCCTGTGGACTCTGATGTGATAATGGTTACTTGATATGACCAGGGTCATGTGATCCCTGAGATGCCACAGTGCCTGGCCACCCCTGTGACTCTATAGATGCTAGCTTCAGAGAAAGACACATCTGTCTATCTCAGAACTGCTCTCTGCGCGTCTGGGGAAGATGCCCAGCACACACGTTTAGCTGTGATGGACTCTTCTCTTTCATCTGCTGTTTGGGTGGATGACTCCCCAGATGCCTCTCTGCTGCTCAGAATGTATTCTCTCATAGTTTCCACTGTCAGGAGGATGGAGCTGAAAGGCCCTCCCTTGTCGGTGTTCTCCGTGCTCAGTTTTTGAATGGCTTGGGAACTAAGAATGGTTTCCAATTTATAAATGCTTCGGCAAAAAAAAAAAAAAAAATCAAAAGAGGACTATTTCCTGACATGTACAATGACAGGAATTCAAATTTCAGTGTCCATGAATACAGTTTGCTGGATCCCCTCCGTCTCATTCATGTCCATGTTGTCTGCTGCTGCTTTCAAACTCAGCCTGGCAGGCTTGCATAGGTTGACAGTGACAGATGGCCCACAAAACAGAAAGGTTTTATTCTCCAGCTCTTTGCAGGAAAAAGTTGACTCTGGTCTTGAAGTGGAGAGAGCCAGCCAACCCCTCCCAGCAAAGGCTCATTCGTAATTCTTACTAATACACCATTAAAAAGTCGGCGAGGCCTCTCCTGCCCACTCTGCAGGGCCTCCTTCTGCTTCTTGTCTCACTCTCTGTCTCTGTGGCTGTGGCCACCAGTGAGTGGACATTTGGTCTGAGGGCTACATCAGCCCCTAAGAAGCAGGCCCAGCTGGAGCTGCAAATGACCAGGCTCTACATGAGTGTCCCTTGGTGGGACACCAGGACTTCCCTCAGGTATCCTCTGAGGTGGCGGCGGCCTGTAGTTACTTCCAGTGTCTGAGAATATATCCCTAAATGTGCATCCTTGCTCAAGATGAGAAGTACCACAATTAAAAAACATAAAACGAATAATTAGGTTTTTAAAAAAATTAATAACTAACCATATGCTGAGCATCCCTAATCTGAAAATCTAAAAATTCTCCAAAATCTGAACCTTTTTGATATGTAATTTTGGATTTTGGAGTGTTTTGGATTCGGGGTGCTCAACTAGTAAAATCTACACAAGTGTTCCAAAATCTGAAAAACTCTAAAATCTCAAACACTTCTGGTCTCAAGCATTTTGTATAGGAATAGTTGTTATTTACTACAGTTTAGTTCAGGGCTTTAAATATAAGCTCTTTTCCCACCTTATACTGTAAATCAAACTATTACGCACATACACACTCACTTACTTTATGGCTCTTGCTCATTCTTCCTAGGAAGTTGGTCTGTCCACATGCATCATGATAAAGGCAGGAAGAGGGTCAGGAGGGCTGTGCCTGGCTGGCCGAGGGAGGAACAGTGAGGTCTGCCAGGAGAGCTGAGCCCAGGGAGGGTGATATATCCGCCATCCATGCCCTGCCAGCAGGAGACACGGGACCCACGCATCTCGTGCCCATGTGGTGTTGCAATCCAGCAAACAGCTCAGAAGCGACAGGAAGGCAGACGTGAAGTCAAGCAGGAGAGTTCATCCAGGCAGCACGTCCTCGGTCGCAGTCAAAATTCACCAACAGCCTCTTACCCCATGTCCTGACTCTGTATTGCACATGGAGGCTGCCCGTGACTCCCCTACTCTCTGAGCTCCACCAGAGCTGTGGGCCCCAGAGGGAACAGGCTCTTTATTTCTGACAGTAACCTGGTCTCTGGGCTGCCCCTTCCTGAACACCTCCAACCAAGGGAGTCCGGCAGAGGAGGGCGTGCCTTCACCCTTGGCGTGGACTGAGTCCAGGCACCACTGTGGGCACAGACCGACCCGAGGCCCAGAGGTTGCCCACAAAAGGTCGAACCCGCTCCTGCGCCACAGAGGATGTGCTGGGGTGATGGGCCCTGTCTGTCTGTCTGGGTGGTCCTCAGAGGCTCATCTCATGTCCGTGAGGGACAGCTACGCCCCGGTCGGGCCGCCTGGACATGAGCCGTACATAGTTGCTCCGTGTTTTAGTGGCAGTGTTAGGCTCCTCGGATATTTCATTTCTCTAAGCATAGCCGACGGGCCATTTTTTTCTACAACTGATTATTTGTAATTAGATTTCTGAAAGACTTATTCAAGCACAACTGTATTATTATCATTATCAGCACCGGGATTGAACCCAGGGGCACTTAACCACTGAGGCACATCCCATGGCCTTTTCTGTATTTTACTTAGCGACAGGGTGTCACTGAGTTGCTTTGAACTCATGATCCTCCTGTCTCCGCCTCCCTAGGGGCTGGGGTTCAGGGGTGTGCACCATACCTGGCTCAAGCACAACTTTAACAGGACCCTGCTTGAGTTTGCATTTCACTTTAAACTGGAGGATTTCTTTTTTTTGTACTTGATATAATTTGTCGTGGGGTATTTTAAAAAGGGATGGGGCTCTGAGGGGAGTCCAGGGGAGTCCAGGGGAGAGGCCACTCTACGTCCTTCTAGGCTAAATTTAGCTTCCATGTGTTTTTGTCAACAGCTCCCTAAATATCCAAGCTTGATTTCAGGAGTGGGGAGTAGTAGTCGAGAGCAGACTTGGTGCTTTGTGAGAGCTTTAAAAATAGCCCACGATGACAGCACTGCCCCATAAGTGGGGCATGGGGGTGACTCCAAAGGCCTGGCACAGAGTTTTTTTTTTTTTTTTTTTAAGACAAGAATAGATACACTGTTGACAATTATATTAAATAAACAAACCTGAAAGCCAACCTTTCCATTCATGTATTTGTTCAATAAACATTTACGTAATCTTTATGTTTTAGGGTAGGAGTTTTGGGGATTCAGAGGTATAAATGGCAGTACCCCTACCAGCAAGGATCACTCAGGAGAGAGCAGTGGCCAGGGGACCCCAATAGACAAGAGTTGGTTACTGTTCTTTCTCACCCGCTGGGTGACATCCTTTAGGGATTCAAGTGTCACTGTTTCCTGGCCCAGTGTTCCTGGCTGGGCTCCTCCTTGCCCCCTGCACCCCAGTTTTGCCATCCATACCTTGTTGGTCAAGCTATTTTTGTGTCATTTTTATCACCTTCATCCCACAGCTGGTCAAACCCAGGGCCTAGCCTCAAGATGCAACTCAAGTCTTCTCTGCTCTGCTACCTCCAGTCCACAGGAAAACTCAGCTTCTTTCAAGAGTAAATATGCATCCGAAGTTGCCGGAAATTTTGAGGGAATTTTGGTGGAACATCAGGACCTGAAGGCTGGAGTTTTAGTTGTCAAATTGGAAAAGAATAGGGATTCCTCAGATTCTCGAGCTTCACCTTAGCCCTGGGCAAGTCCCCTCGTGGCATTATGGAAACGATGGTTTGGGAATATTTAGAAAAGGACTGGGGTCACTTGGAGCTCGGGGAGTCCCTAAGAACATGGCCGGGTGGACCAGAAGAATTGTCTCTTGTGACTTGGTGATTCACTTCCAAGGAGGGGCGGTAGCAGCCATTGTGCATATCTCAATGTTTAATGGAAAGTGTTATGAAAACTTTTGGGAGAAGTTGAAAAACGATGTGTCTTTGTGCTGAGCATTCTGTCCCACAATTATGTAGGAAGACGCTGAGTCCTAAAACTGACAGTGTGTTTACTGTGGGGAGCTGGGCCTGCAGAGCCCCAGCCTGCCCTGTTCCCGCACAGCACTCCCTTTACAGGGCCATGTGAGTCTACATCTTAACTACAGCAAAACACATGGAGACAAGGAACTGATTGGCTAGTTCTAAGAAACATTTTCCCCAGTGGCAAAACAGGATATGTTCTCATTAAATGCCAGGACAAGACACCTAAAGTACACAGCAGGTCGTGCCGCCGGGGCCTTGTGTTTCTCCTTAAACAGGGTCATGGTGCCCCACAGGAATGGGCCTGGTGTGGGAGCTGTTGCTGTTCTGCCGCCTGCGGCCTTCCAGCCTCCTTGGCTTGGGCTGAGGAACTCTGCATTTAGATTCTTCAGGGTGCGCTTTCCATGACCTCAGGAGAGGGGATCCCAACATCTTTCTTTGGGAAAATTTGGTTTAAAAACTCAAACTGGAGAAATAATATACACAATGCCTCTAGAAGAGTGTCTCAAACCTCGGCCATGAGGTGGACTCGCCATGAGCTGTAACGATGGCTGGTGCCCTGCTCTGGGGCAGAGCGGCTCTGGGGTGGTGTCGGGCTCAGCATGGCTCAGGACTGCCGGAAACTCTCCAGGTGCTGCTAACGGGCAGCAGGGCCGGGAACCACTGCTCCGAAAGGAAGCCACAGAGCCTGGCTTCAGCCGGACCTTACCTTGAGCACATGCAGAGTTGGGTATCAGAAAGGTGGCATGGAGCAGGACACAGTCAGGGTTCCTAAAGATGGTAACAGGCCAGAGCAAAGGGCTGAGTCCATCCACGCCCCGATCTGACATCCAAACCTCTGACACACAGGATCCTTGTGAATTTTGTGGCATAAGCTGCTGCTCCTTGCTGTGGCTTCTCCTGTTGCTCTTTGTAGATTTTTCTCTTTCTTCTTTGTAAGCTCAGAGTGTTTGGGACTGTGGGTGAGCTGATGTTGGCACCCATGTTTAGATGGCATAAATGCAGCAAGTCACGGCAGCTGCTTCACAACATGCAAAGCGTGAATGTGCAGCCAGAGAAACTGTCAGCCAGGTGTCTGCTTGGGCTCCCTCAGTCACCAAGGCCCTGGCTTGAAGGCGG